TTTTTTTTTTTTCTTTACTAAACATATGGAATCCTATCAAAAATTTTAAATTCTTACCTGGGTATTTTCATCCAGATAGTTTTTGTTGTTGTTGTTGTTGTTTCCAGGTGGCTGGTAAGGGGATTCAAATCCTTGACCTTGGTGTTACCAGCACAGCTCTAACCAGGTGATCTAACTGGCCAGCCATAGGGTAGATTTTAAGACTGCTTTTTTTTTTTTTTTTTTTGACAGCAGTCCTTAATGTTCTTGCCCAATCACATTCCTTGTATTTGTGGGTCCTGATTTTTTTTTTTTTCGTGCCTAGCCAATACAGGTATCTGAATCCTTAACCTTTGTGTTACTAACACCACGCTCTAACCAATACTTTCACTGCATTTTGGCTGAGAATTTCTTCTAAGAAATCACAAAGATGCTCTGTGAGTTCTAAGTATTCTTATACAATTATAAAACAGATTTTTCTTCCTAAAGCTCAACATATAATGGTAACTCGCTTGTGTATTATAAATACTACTTCACAATATACTTCAATAAGAATTTACTATTGTAATGCTTCCAAAGCATTAAAAATATTATAACTTAAACATATATTATGGCATGTTAATATATAGATGACATGGCATAATAAAGTGAGTACGAGAAAGCTGTTAGCTCAAAGAGAAGGGAGAGGTTAATTACAAAGTTCTCATATCAGGAATGGCTTAGTAAATTTATTTTTCCCGGTTGGCCAGTAAGGGGATCAAAACTGGTTTAGTAGATGTAAAAGATTTAAGGACACATGTACTATTACACACTTTTTGGTTCATGCTTTAGTTAAAATTGTAATTATGCCTCAAATGTATTTTTTACTATATTGGGTCTCCTCTTTAAAATGATGGCTCCGGTTATATTACTAGAATTTTCACTTTCTAGTAATTCTAAATTACTAGAATTTCCAAGCCACAGTCTAATATCGCTAGAACGATGCTGCTGTAAGAATGTTCCATGACAAAGCTAGAAATGGTATTGTTTTGTTTTGTTTTGTCTATTCATTTTGGTGGCTGGCTGATGTGGAAATCTTTACCCTTGACCTTGGTGTTACCAACACTGCACTCCAACTGAGCAAACTGGCCAGCAGAAACAGTATGTTTTCAAAAAGTCACTGGGGCCGGCCCGGTGGCGCACTGGATAGTGCGCCGCTTGGGAAGCGCGGCAGCGCTCCCGTCCGAGGGTTCGGATCCCACGTACAGACCGGCTCCCGCTCACTGGCTGAGCGAGGCGCGGGAGCAACGCCGAGGCTTGCGATCCCGTCGCCGGTCCCCGGTCCGGTACGGGGGCAACACTGAGGGTTGCGATCCGTAGCTGGACACGGAAAAAAGAAAAAAAAAAAAAAAAAAAAAAAAAAAAAAAGTCACAAGTTCATATTAGCATTGTCAATATAGCTATAATCTTAATATATCTACTTAAAAACTTAACCCTTTACTCATAACTGTACTCTTTTGTAATTACATAATTTGCACAATTATCCCTCTAACTAAAATCTAGTACAATTTCTCTTCCTTCTTTTATCTGATAAACCTTCTCCCCTACAAACACATGTGCACACACACACAAGCCAAAGAAACTAATAATATTGCTTTCGAATCAAAATATTTTTCAATTTTTTTATGATTAAACAAACACTTGCACATGTATACTTTGTTCCAAACGTTTAAGTTAATTTGTAATTTGAGAGGTTTGTTTTTTATATTGGCTGTGACTTTCAGCTCGTTCTTCTTAGAAGACCCATTCAGGTCCCATAGCAAGTGGAAAATCAGATTTTCCAGTCTATTCTATGAAATGAGTAGAAGTACACAAGAGGTTTAATTTCCAAAGTCAGGTACAAGAGTATTATTGTCATGAGCAGTGAATCAATGCATGATTGTGGGTAAAACTTTCATACACACAATTTTCTGTCAGAAAAACCAATCTTATCTTCCACAGGTCATTTCCTGACCTAAATTAAATGAGGAGACATTAGAGACACAGAGATTCCTTTGGCTCTATACAGCTGCCATCTGATAATTTCTTCTCTGAACAACTGCCACAGCATCCTAGCTGGCTTTCCCACATCCATGCTGTTCTCCTTCAATCTGGTCTCCTCAGTGCAGCCAAAGCAATCTTTAGTAAATTAAAATCTGGGCATGCCATTCTGTTCTTCCAGAATCTTCATGAGCACAGAGCGCTATTTGGGTTAGAGTGATGGCAAGCCTTGATGGAAGTGACAGAGAGTTCGAAAGTCACTTAAATGTTTTATCTTAGTACATCTATGTTTAGAAAAATAATCCAATTCTAGGTTTCTAGAAGGCTCCATGTGCTTCGGGGGGGGGGGCAAGTTGGATACTGAAAGGATGTTCATAGTGATTCTCAACCCTGTTGCTAGGGTGTCTCCAGTTTTGCTTGGGACTGTCCAGAACTTAATGTCTTTCTAAGGGAGAAGCTTCTACCCAGAATGCACAAAGTCTCAGTGATCAGCTATGGGTGCAGAAATTTGGGGGAAAGGCACGAAACCCAACAAATAGGGACTGAAAGCAACATAGTTTTAGTGTCACATGGATTTGGCATAGGTGATCCATCCCCAGCTGCTGTCATCCTGGCTGCTGATGTTAGCAACCATGATTTGTGGTTCATAGTAATGGATCATCTCTTGCTTCAACACTCCAAGTGATGAGACTTAAATGTACAACTTAAGGGCATTATTATTATCAGCTTTAACTGCTGATCTATAAGATGAATTTACAGATGCAAAGGACCTGACTGACAAACAGCTAGTTTTCCCGAAAATTCGGAGAGCTGGAAATTAATTCCCACATATCTAAAACCCTGCTGTTGCTAGTAAGTATACTGTAAGTATCCCATACTCAAAGGCTTTTGTTGAGAGGACATTTAGCTTGACATTACATATCACTTTGGAGTGACACAAGGAATCAGTGTAATGTGGACCTGATAAGAGAAGAGCTACAAGTCAAAGTGAGTTGTACTTTCGCCTGTAGTATTCAGTTTTAACACTACATAAAAGTCAAGAAAGATGTCTTGAAGGTTTCCAGGCAATTCAGAGAATTACTGTTAGAGTAAAAATATCCTACTGTATCATTGGACTGAAAGAAATATATCCTTTTTTTCCCTTTTTATTAAATGCATCTCCTTTTTTAAAGTCTTACAATTATGTATTTTACACACACACCAAGAAATAGCCTACGAAATTTAACTATCTAAAAAAGCATTTAATAGTTCCAGTATGTTGCTATATCGGTGGGCAAAGAGAAACGTAAACTATTATATCTCCTTCATATACATTACCTGTTTAATTAGTCCTGCTTTTTTATTTCTTTGGTGGCTAGCGGAATGGGGATCTCTTGACCTAGAGTTCTTGACCTTCGTGTTATAACGCCGCGCTCTAACCAACTGGGCTAACTGGCCAGCCACTTTGCTATTTATTAATTACAACAAATTGCCCCTGTTAACTACTCCTATTGCTGTTTTGTTTAAATAATAGCACAATGTAACAGAAATGTAAATAAAAAAAGCCATTTCAAATAAGCACCTATTTTTCATTTTTTGGTTGAAGCGATAACACATATGTGTATAATAACTCATTATATGTTTCATTATCATTATTTGTTTGGTATGGCTGTGGTCAAGGTGAGCTCTCGAAAAAGTTGGTCACTCCACATGGACTTGCCAGGGGGGATTTTTAAACACCCAACTGCGCTGACGGCCCCTTCGCTAGAGGTTCTGCAATGAGTCCGCAGGGGCAGGGGCTTGCTCCTGGCATTTCTAGAGCTCTCCAGCTGACTGGGGAGTTCAACCCCACTGCGTGGGAGGGGCAGAATCCTCAGGGGCGTGGCCAGAGGGCACGTGGCCGAGCCGGCGCCCTCTGCGGCCGTTGATTGGTCCCGGCCAGGAGAGGCGTGTACGTACGTGCCATGAGTGGCCACCGCCCTCTTCGCCGGACCAGAGAGTTGTGAAGCCTCCGTGGTCCTAGAGGAGACGCGGACCGGGACGCTCTGCTCGGCGCGGCGACAGTCTCGGAGGACGCCCCGGAGGCTGAGCCGGGGATCTCGTCCCTCTAGTGGGGGTGAGCGGAGGTGCGCCGACGAGAAGGACCCGAATCAGGGCCGAGAAAGGGGAGAGGGGAGTCCACCCTCGTGGCTGCCGCAGGGGGACACTAAGCACCACGTGGAGGACTTCCTGGAGGCGGCGGCGCGGTGGGAGGTCGCCGGCCTCCAGTAGGTTTGGAGAGAAAGAAACTAGTGTGATGGGAGGAGTGGTGCCGCGGGGAAGTCACTCCTGGAGAGACAACCCTCTCCCCCCGGCCTCCAGGGTACGTGAAGGGCATTTGCAGCGGGGCTTCGGGGCCTGTGGCACCAGCCTTTGAATATTTTCGATGGTGTCTCAGGTCTTCAGCAGCGAGGAGGAGCGAAGTCAATGAATGAATGGCTGGTTTGTGGTATTTGTTTTTTTTGCAGGGGAAGTCGAGGTGTGATTCTAAGTTCAAGGTGTTCACATTACCGCGAAGTGGCATCTTAGATTCTGTCAGAAGTTAAAATCAGATCAAATTAAAGTTTTGAGAGTTTTTTGTGCATACAGACGAACAGTTGGTGAACTGTTACAACGCATCTTATAAAGCGTGAGCGAGGAAGTGCCGCGATCTTTATGTTAATTGGATATTACACACATTCCTTTTAGAGCAAGAAGCGCTGTGTAAGCTTTTGGTTGTAAGCTTTTCGTCTGCAGACAATTGGTTCAATTTCATCCTGCGGAAAACAAAACAGCTGAAGTTTCGTTCATGGTTAGAGCTAGCTTTTCGGGGGAATGAGGATATTTGCAGTTTTTGTATGTCTATGGATGGTTGGCCTACGGGTATACCCAAACCATGGCGTTTATTTTGATTTTTGTTTAGCAAGTCTGACTTCCAAATGCAAAGTTTGCACAGATTTTCTTTTTCCTTTATTTTGTGGGTAATTCTAGTGCTTAAGAAAAGCAGGTTTAGTTAGAGACTTCTAGGGACTTGTTCAGGAGGTTGGGGGCAGGCGTTATTTATTCTACCTAGATTTTCAGTAAATATAGTTTATGGAATGAAAGGCATGTGGTCTCTGCCCCAACTTTGGAACCGTTGATCAGGACAGTTTTTGGAGTGCCTCCTTGCTTAAGAGGCAGGAGGTCTTCCAAACAGTGTTTTCAGGGAACATGAACGGGTGTTTGGTGGTGGTGTGTGTGTGGGGGGGTTCTTTAAAATTAATTTACATAAAGATTAACCCCTGGGGAGAAAGCAACTCTGTTATTGTTGTTCAGTCTTGTGAGTCCTAGCAAATCACCAAGCTAGGTGGTTGTGGAGCCCCAGAACACCTCCAGAGTAGGCTTGTCAGTGGGTGGAGCTGTCAGTGGGAGCAGGGTTGGGAATACATAAACATTTAGAAGAACAAAGAAATAGCCTTATGGTATTGCCCCAAATGACCTTAGTTCCTGGAGAGCTAAATTGGTTAGGTTTGGGTTAGGGGAGCCAAGTTTGAAGATTAGTGTCTTCAGGCCAAGCTAAACTGATGGTTAAGGTAACGACGGGAAAAGATAAAACCTGTTTATTGTGTATGTGATCTTATTTGTTTGAAGAGGATAAAATTAAGTTCATTGTAGAATTTGGAAAATATGGGAAAAAAAAGAAAAAAGAAAATCCCTGTATCTTGTCAGCTGTGCATGCCCAGAGAGTAACTATATGGAATTTATAATTACCTATTTGTACATATGTAGTCTGAAATCTCTGATAACGCTCCTAAAATCATTTGTGTGATGTGGAAATAAATGGAGATCACCCAAATTAGAGCAAGCGCTTTTTATTCAGAACTTCATATAGTGAGGGAGTTAGCCACCATCACTTGTGTTGGGCAGAGACTCAAAGGCAGGCAGAGGAAAGCTTCATAGAGAGAGCTTCAAATTAGGGCTGGCCTTACTGGTTATCTCTCTTCTTCTTCAGCTTACCCTGAGGACCGGTATCCTACCCTTGTTAAAGAGCCGGCCATGGAAGCTGTGTTCCCAGCAGCCAGGTGGAAGGTGAGCTGTGCTTCCTCCTCTGCTTCCTCAGAATAGTCACTACTGCTTTCACAACTCCTTCGTTCAGATTGAGCCCTCATTACCAATTTGGGGAATATTCCTGCTTTGAAAGTGTGATTTAAAGAGCTTAAACTCTGGAGTCCGATAAGTTCACATCCAGGCTCTGTTTCAGATGTGTTACTTTTAGCAAGTTACATAAACACTATGGGTGACAGCTTCCTTATCTGTAAAATGGGATAAGGACAGTACCAATCACAAAGAGTTATGAGGATTTAATGAAATAAGGCATGTGAGGTACTTTGCATAGTACCTAGTTACATTTTAAGGGCTCTGTAAGTTTTAGCTCTTATTACCATAGTTGTTCGTGGTTTTGGTCAGTGAGTGAGCATTATGGTGTACCTACTGTATACCAGTTACTGTCTTTTGTGCTGGGAGATAAACTCCTATGTGAAGGAGATTACAGTTTGTTGGGGAGGTAGATATATGTAAACAAATTCTTCTAATACAGGAATAAATTCTGAACTGTTAGGATTACAGGGTACACTGGAAGTTCAGTTATTGAATTTGAAACATTATAGAGAGTGATTAGAAGAAGTTGAGTTTAAAAAGTAAGGAGACAAGTTAGGAAACCATTGCAACAGTTTGAACAGTCCTGCACAGGATGGAGTTGCATTGCAGCAGGTTGACGGTATTGCTCCATGTGTCCACATTTTCTGAGGGATCATGAAGCTCCACCTGCTTTTCCTGTTTCATCTTCGGCCTTTCCCCCGAGCCAGCGAATCTGCACTCGGGAACGTGCAATGCTCATTCATTCTGCCATTCTCTGGTACCTGCTGTACTATGTCCACACGCAAACTCCCCTAACTCATGTTTCAAGACTCAACTCAAAAACTATGTCCTCTGCGCCATCTTCTCTTCCTTTGCCTTCTCTGTGTTCCCAAGAAGGTGGACACTAGGGGGGCTTAGAAGAACAATTTCAGAGGAAGCATGGAGGCTAAAGCCGTATGGCGGGGTGTAGAATGGTTGGAGGTGATGTGCAGGGTGTTCTTTCCAGACTCTGTCCAGTGCGGGAAGGAGAGAGAGTGGGAACCGGAGGGAAGGAAGAAGCAGGGAGCATCTCTTTAAAGATAGGAAAGATTTTACCATACTTACTGGCTAAAAGAAAGGAGCCAATGGAGGGAGGAAAAAGGGTACAGACACAGAAAAGAGTGGTCATTGTTGGAGTAAGAGCCAGAGGAGACGGGAGAGTGGAATCAGAGGCAGAGCAGGAGGGCTTACTAGGAGAAGGGGACCTTTTTCCTTTCAGGGAGGAGGGGTAAAAATTCAGGTCATGTCTAGGGGAGTGTGATAGGAGAACAGGAGGAGTTAAAGAGCCTGTCTGCCATGGGCTATTTTCTAGGATGGAACCGGCAGTGCTTGGTGAGAGGGAGGGCGTGGGGCTGAGCTGCCGCTCGGATTACCTTCTGTTGGGTATTGATGACTGGGTCATTACTGGTTACCATGTTGACTTCCCCATCTTCCTTACTAGACTGTTTATCCCTGAAGCTGGGACAAGGGCTGCCATGGAGTTGTGCAGTCGTGCACTTAGCACTGGGGGAGGCCCCGTTCCACAGCTCTGGTGGGAGCAGCGTCCTCTCGAGTTGAGCAGTGTGCATCCCGAACAGCTGCATCCTGTGGCCTCAGCAGGAGCTGTAGCCTTGGTTTATTTTGTGGTGGCATATAGCGTGAAGGCTAGCAACTTATTGGTGCTCAATAAATGTTTATTGAAGGAACGAGAATGACAAGGGTGTAGAGTGCCACTTGTGAGGAATGTGAGAGCGAGAATTGTGGAGCAGCTGTCGGGCCCCCCTTTAAGTGTGTAGAGAACACTCTGTGGGAGATGAAGTGATTTTCTTCCCTAACGCTTGTTCCCATCGTGAGGTGCAGAGAGTGCAGACGGCTGAGCAGGTCAGGGTGAGGAGACTACAGGGCAGCTCTGGGAAAAGGCATATGGGACCAGGGGCCTGGCGGAAAGTGAGGTTGGGTGTCTGTTCTCTCCCTGGCAGGCTTTGTGGCAGCGGCTGCATTCTTCTAAGGCCCTAATTCCAGTCTTGCTTCCTCTCCAACAACTTCCTGGATTCCAACATCCCTTCCCCTACCTTATTTGCCTCTTCAGACCAGTGGGTAGTGGTTCCCCACTGCAGCCAGCACCTGCATGCTTCAGCATACCTGTATTTTCATTAAGCCTCTCCATTCCTTTGTAAATGGCCTGCACATTAATCTGTCTTTAATGACATCATCTCTTTCCTACGGGCACCCGGGGCAGTATTATATAGAGCAGGGGTCAGCAACCTGAGCTGGACCTGTTAAGAAGGGTTTATTGGAACACAGCCATGCCCATTTGCTTACCTGTCATCTGTAGCTGCTTTTGTGCTACAGCAGTGGAGTCGAATAGTTGCAGCAGAGACCAAATAGCCTGAAAAGCCCAAAACATTTACCCTCTGGCCCTTCTGAGATAAGTCTGTTGACCCTGTGGTATGCCTGGCTTGAGGGTCAGGAGATCTGAGGGGAGCCTCCCATCCTCCTTACTAATGGAGTGACCTTGGCCAGGGCAGTTTACCTCTTTGAACCTCAGTTTCCTCATCTGTAGAGTAATAGTCATAGCTCACAAGATATTCTAAGAATTGCAGTCGCAATTTCCTGCTGTTTTTCAGGAGTTGCTGTCGTTTGAGGATGTGGCAATGTACTTCACCAGAGAGGAGTGGGACCACCTTGACTGGGCTCAAAGGGACCTCTACAGAGATGTGATGCTGGAGAATTACAGGAACTTGATCTTGTTGGGTAATGACTCAGCTTGGAGAAAGGGCTTCCTTTATGTGTTCTAAGTGTCTACACAGGTCCTCAGTCCTTTATCTGAAGTTCCAAAGTCAGAAAAAGCTCTGCAAACCAGAAGTTTTTTCCTAACTCATTTGGCTGTAAAACCTGACCTGAAGTCACCAGGCAGTGAAAACTGAATTCATCCCACAGGAAATTACTCATTGTTCTTATCTTCTCACTTGGTGTACATATCTATATACAGTCATGGGTCACTGAACAGCAGGGTTATGTTCTGAGGAATGCATCATTAGGCAGTTTGGTTGTGGGAACGTCGTAGAGTGTACTTAACACAAATCTGTATGGTATAGCCTGTTACACACCTAGGCTATATGGGATGGCCTATGGCTCCTTAGGCTACAAACCCGCCCAGCATGTTACTGTACTAACTACTATAGGCAATTGTAACACAGCGGTAACCATTTTTGTATCTGAACATATGTAAACATAGAAAATGTACTGTAAAAATACAGTATAAAAGACAAAAAATGATGCATTTATATAAGGCACTTACCATGCACGGAGCTCGCAGGACTGGAAGTTGCTCTGAGTCAGGGAGTGAGTGGTGAGAGAATGTGAAGGCCTAAGACATTACTCTGTGCCACTGTAGACTTTATGAACACTAAACACTTAGGCTAAAGTAAATTTATTAAAAAATTAAGTAATTGTGCTGTGATGTTATGACAGCTACAATGTCACTAGGCAATAGGAATTTTTTTATTTACATTATAATCCTATGGGGCCACTGTCTTTTTTTTTCCTTTTTGTCTTTTTTCGTGCCCGGCAACGGATCGCATCCCTCAGTGTTGCGCCCATACCGGACCAGGACCGGCCACGGGATCGCAACCCTCGGTGTTGCCCCCAGTCCTCGCTCAGCCAGTGAGCGGCCAGTCTGTATGTGGGATCCGAACCCTCGGCGGGAGCACCACCGCGCTTCCCAAGCGGCGCACTGTAGCAGTGTGCCACCGGGCTGGCCCCGGCAATAGGAATTTTTAACTCCATTATAATTATGCAGCCACAGGCCGGCCCGTGGCTCACTCGGTAGAGTGCGGTGCTGATAACACCAAGGCCACGGGTTCGGATCCTATATAGGGATGGCCGGTTTGCTCACTGGCTGAGCGTGGTGCTGACAACACCAAGCCAAGGGTTGAGATCCCCTTACCGGTCATCTTTTTTAAAAAAATAATAATAATAATAATTATGCAGCCACCGTTGTATATGCTATTCATAGTTGACCTTAACTTTGTTATGTGGCACGTGACTGCACTTAGCTTCAGAAATATCAGTGTGTTTGATTGAGGGCACAGCTCAAACCCTATTAGGGATGGTATATAATATAAAATACATACACCAAGTCACCGTTGTGAAGTCTGGAAAAATTCTGAATCCTGATACAGTCTGGCCCCAAGGGTTTCAGGTAAGGGATTGTGGTCAGTGCATAGTTGTGTTTTGTTTTAGGGGTCAGAGACACTTAATCCTTTCTCCACTCTCATCCCATCTTCTACATCTTTAAGACCCCAGGAGTTAAAAAGATTGTGGTGGATTTAGATTCCAAAGGCTTGCTTCTTATTCTCTTGAAAAGTCTTTTTCTTTCTTTTCTCTGGAAATGGGTAACATCCTTGTTTGTATCATTAGTGGGTGCCCAGGAAATGACTTTAAACTGACTGCATTCCTGAACCTTCACTGCTTCCATCTTTCCAGGAGCCTCCCTTTGTCTTATGCCAGTGCAGCGTCTCCCGCTATGGGAGTTGCCTGGATAAATAGTTTCCTTTCTGGGGCTACATGTTTGAACCCCAAACAGACGCTCTTGGTATGGTCTTGATCACCTCTTGTGCGATCTTCCACCCACCTCTGGATTTTGTAATGTTTATTTTTCTATTAAAAGTATCATAGGAGCATGCTTGAATACATGGAAGTTACAGAAAAGTATGAAGGGAAAGGGGAGATATTCAGAGATAACCCTGTTATATTTTCAGATATTTCCTTCCATCTTTTTTTTTGTGTGTGTATGCTTTTTAAGAAGTAGCTGAGAATATTCTATGTGTAATTCAGTAATCCCTTTTAAACTTAACATTACAGCATCAGCATTTTCTCATAGATACAGTGAATGATCATATCTTCCATTGTATGATCTGAAATAATATTTAATGTTTTCCCATTTGGGGACATTCAGCTTGACTCTATTTTTGCTTGTTGGTTGGCTTGTGTGTTTATCATTTTCTGTATTATAATGTTCCAGTGGAGGTTTCTGACTATAAATCTTTATATGAATTTTTGATTATTCCTTGAGATACATTCTCAGAACTGGAATTTTGGAATTAAAGGGCATGGCACTTTAAGTGTCTTTATAGATTACTGAATGATATTTTAGGAAAATTTTTACTATTTTGCATATCAAAAAGTAGTATTTGAGAGTGCTTCTTTTCATAGAACACTACTTCTTTAGAGAGTTTACTAGTTCTAAACATAATAATGCTTATTTTAGAAACTTTAGAAAATGTATCAATGAATAGAGTAAATAAGAAAAATCATCTGCACGTCTACTGCTCAGAAATAACCCTTGGTAAAATTTTCATTTACTTTTTCCTAGTCAGTCTCTCTCTCTCTTTCTCTCCCCTTAGTTATTTACTGACCAACTTACACACACAGATACACATACACATGTATAGTTTTTTAAAACAAAATTTGGATCATGCTATACATGGATTTTGTTTTCTGCTTTAAAATATATAGAGAGCATCTTCCTATTTTAATAAGTATTTGAACACATGGATTTTTCATATCTTCCTAAGGCTTATGCCTTTATTGTGTTAATGTGCTACACTTTATTTAATGATCCCCTATTGAAACTTAGTTTATTTCCAGCTTCATACAGTTATAACACTGTGCTAAACATCTCTGGTACATCCATCTTTGTCCTAATTTTTCCTTAGGCTATATTTATAAGAGTGAAATGAACATATCCAAGGGTATGACACTGGTCAGGCTTTCAATACAGAGAGCCAGATTTTCACAAAGATTGTGCCAGTTTCTATTCTCACCAGCCCTTTTGATTATTGTCCTTATCTCTGCTTGCCACTGTGGACCCAAAGGGTTAGACTGAGCCCTGGGACAATATCTCTCTGTAAGTCACTAATGGCCACATCCCATTTACTTTCTCATGAGTAGGATTTCAGTTTTCCAAACCTGAGGTGATCTGTCAGCTGGAGAACTGGGACGAGCCATGGATCGTGGACCTACCGAGAGCTGAGAATAGGAAGGCTTCCAGTAGTGCTTGCCCAGGTGGGTGAGGAGGAGACCAAGCAAGCAGAATCCTGGAGAGAGAGGGAAGTCACGTTCATGAAGCCCCTTCTGTGTGCCACACACTGAGCCAGGCATCCAGCACATGTCGTTCCACTTCTGCATCCCGACTGCCCTAGGAAAGTGGTAGGAGGATGATCAGCATCCCCATTTTCCAGACAAAGAAAGGCAAAAATTAAGAGATCTGTCCCACAGTTAGGAGAGTGACCGTGGGGATTTGATTTCAAGTCTGCGAAGCTCATCCTCTTTCTGCTGCAGTATCAAGTGCTTCTCTGAAGCAGCTGGTCTGATGTTTTCTAAGTGACAGCTCTCAGGCCGCCTGAGATACTCCTTTATTCCACCCTCACTACTTATCCTTTCTCTGTTCTCTTGTTCCCTTGCATTCATTTTGTTTCCCATATTCCCTCAGTATTTCTTGGTACATCTCCTTGTTCCTACTTACTGTGTCCTGATTGCTGCTTCAGCCCTTTTTGTATCCCTCTACTCCTACTCCACGACTTCTCAACCTCAGCACTGTTGGCATTTTGGGCTGGTTAATCCTTTGGGGGGGGGGGACTGTCGTGTGCATGGTAGGATGTTTAGCCTCCCTGGCCTCCATCCACTAGGTGCCAGTAGCACCACCCCAGTTGTGACAACCAAAAATGTCTCTGGACATTGTCAGATATCCCCTGTGGGGCAAATAATTCCTGGTTGAAACCTAGTGCTCTCATCTGTTGGTATTTTGTACCTACTTCCCTCTGGTTCCTTTTCTGTTCTATCCTGTACTTTCTCCATTTATAACAAATTGTTTCACCTAGAATTATCTAAAACATGCATATCTAGAAAGCCTAAGATTCTACCTCTCCTACATCTATGTGACACTACTGAGTACCTAGAGTAAGTTGTGTCTCCAAAAATGGTGATGGGTTTGTTCTGTTCTCACATTTCTGGCACACACACTTGTGCATTTTTTATTGGTTGATAGTTTCTAAAAGCTCTTTCTGTTTGGAAAGCAGAAAGTTTTATGAATTTCAGAATTTTGGCCTCTTGAGTATGATGATGTAAACAAGTGAGCACTTAGCTTGGTTGGATTTTATATCCCAAACACTTGGCTGCTTTTCTTTTTTTTCCTCCTGAAATGAGCAGGTTATTTATATCTTTTCTTACTATTTCACTAGGTTCTGAAGCCAGATACAAGATGAAAAAGCTAACTCCAAAGCAGAAAATTTCTGAAGATTTGGAGTCACATAAGGTATCAGTGGTAATGCAGAAAACAGCCACGAAACTTTCAGAAAAGTTACATAAATGTAAAGAATTTGCGGACAGTTGCGAGTTTGTACTCCCTACTATTGGTGATGAACACTACAATGTCTTCCTTCAAAACTTTAACCTCATTCAAGATCAGGATGCTCAGACAAGGAAGAGGCAGGGTAAATATGATGAAGAAGGGAAACCCTTCAATCAAAGATCATTGCTTTTGAGGCACGAGCAAATTCTTACAAGAGCAAAATCATATGAATGTAGTGAATGCGGAAAAGTCATCAGGCGTAAGGCATGGTTTGATCAACATCAAAGAATTCACTTTTTAGAGAATCCTTTTGAGTGTAAAGTATGTGGTCAAGCCTTCAAACAGCGGATAGATCTTACTGTCCATAAACAGTGTCATCTGCAAAACAAGCCATATAAATGTCCCGACTGTGGAAAGTGTTTCCGTCAGCTCGCATATCTTGTTGAACATAAGAGGGTTCATACCAAAGAAAAACCCTACAAATGTAGTGAATGCGAAAAAACTTTTAGTCAGAATTCAACCCTTATTCGACATCAGTTAATCCATAGTGGAGAAAAACCCCATAAATGCCTAGAATGTGGAAAAGCCTTTGGTCGGCATTCAACCCTTATGCACCATCAACAAATTCACCGTAAACAGAAAACCCATAAGTGCAGTGAATGTGGACAGTCCTTTCGTCTGAATGTAGACCTCATTCAGCATCAAAGAACTCATACCACAGAGGAATTCTTTGAATGTAAAGAATGTGGAAAAACTTTTAGTTTTAGGAGAAATCTTTATAGACATCAGGTCATTCACACTGGAAAAAGACCCTATACATGTGACACATGTGGGAAATCTTTCAAGTGGCACACAAGCTTTATTAAGCATCAGGGTACTCACAAAGGACAGCTATCTTCATGATATTAACTGGAAACACTACCATTTATTTTATTTTTATTTATTTTTTGGTGACTGACCAGTTCGTAAAGCTACCATTTAAAGCCCAGAACTTAACATCGACTGTAAGTGTGTATAACTTGATTGTTTCACGAAAAGTAATAAACAACTGACATGGTTTTTCTGTGGGACTCTTTTTCTGTAGCGAACCTTCCTGCTGCACTCAAGAATTATGAGAAAATGTAATGGGCTGTTGTGTCCACTCGCTCTTGAACCCTGCATACCTTCATCCCCTTTAGTCTAGTTCAGGCAGGAGGAGGCATAGAAGCTTGAAGAGACATGTCCCTTCTGTTTCAGTTATTCCAAGCACATTCTAACATTAAGGTTAAATAGGTTAAGCTGACTGTATTATCTCCCTAGAGCTTAGCAACACAGGAAATTTCACTTGAAATTGTTTTGATATCCTAAACATCATCCTAAGTCTGTAGTAAACATTGCTGCTTAAAAAAAAAAAGGTGGCTGCTATTTTGACCCTTTCCTATTACTCAAGTCTCCTTTAGTTTCTTCTTGATTTTATTATTTTCTTGCCCCTACCAATTTCATGACTTCTTACCCAGCATATAAAATAAAATGTTAAAAAAGTTCTACTGAGACTGAGAAGTAAGCAGAGTTAAAAATGTATCACTCTAGGGCCGGCCCGGTGGCCCACTGCTACAGTGCACTGCTTGGGAGCGCAGCAACGCTCCCGCCGAGGGTTCGGATCCCACATACAGACCGGCGGCTCACTGGCTGAGCGAGGTGCAGGCGCGACACCAAGGGTTGCGATCCCGTTGCCGGTCCCGGTCCTGTACGGGTGCGACACTGAGGGTTGCGATCCGTTGCCGGTCACGAAAAAAAGACAAA